CTTTAGCTTTTAGCCTTTAGCTTTTAGCCTTTAGCTTTTAGCCTTTAGCCTTTAGCTGTGGTTCAGATAATTACATCTTTACTTGAAGCTTTCTCTTCAAACAGGAGCTGTTTTGTTAAATGAAGCTTTTAGCTAACTAACGTTCAGCTGATTTAGCTCATATTTAGCTGCAGATGTTCTGACAGAACTTTTTGAAGGTCCAATAAGTCTCCATCAGCAGAACCTGAAGCGAGCCCAACAGAACCCAGAAACACTTCTGGTTCTTCAGAACCTCTGGTCCAGAGGCTGCAGACACCCATGTTCTGATCCAATGTTGGTTCTGGTCCAGAGAGATCAGAACCTGTGGCTCCTGGTTCTGCTTCCAGCTGCTGTAAGGCTGCAGAACCAGAACCGGGCCACACGATGGCGCCGTGTCCACAGACGTTCCAGTTCTGTATGGTGCTGTTTCTCAGCAGGAACCTGCAGAACCCACAGGTCCGGTTCTGACCCGATCTTGTTACTCAGAACTTTAGGTTCATGTTCATGAGAACACAATCAGCCCTCCCTCATGGTTCTGGTTCTGAAGAACTCTGGGTCCAGCTGAGTTCAGCCCGGTTCACAGCACTACAACAAAACGGGTCAAGAAGGTCAGAACCAAGGTCCAGAACCTGTGGTGGACCTTCAGGGATCTGAACAGAACCTGATGATGTACAGAACCATGTGAGAGTTCTGCTGCTGGATCTGGACCTGGAACCAGGTTCTGTTTAACAAGAACCAGGTGATGACAACTGTTTGTGACCCAGAAAGGTCCGGTTCTGCTTTCTGAAGCTGCAGAAGCTTTCAGGTCAGAGGTTCTGGTTCTGGCCCGGAGCGAGGTCAGACTTACGTTCTGCTGCTCGGGGTCTGGAGGGGACGCCCGTCGTGAGGAACCGGAGAACAGAGCAGGAAGACGGAGAAGAACCAGGCCCGCAGAACCCGGCCGGAGAACATCCTGGGCCCTGCAAGAGAACAGAGAACAACGTGAGCTCCTCAGGTCCTGCTGCTGGACCTCCAGAACCACAAGTCTCCTGGAGACCTGAGTCAAACATACAGAACCTGGACCGGTCCAGGTTCTCACAGAACCACAAAGTGTCCCTCCTTCACTGATTCAATGGTTCTGACAGAACCAAGAAGAACATTTAACTCTTTTATTTTTATCAGATTTTAATCAGAATAAAAACTGTTGGTTTGATTTAATGTTTTTATTTTAACATTATTTAAATTAAATCAACATGAAGATTTGTTCAAACAGTAAAAAACAGAAAAAGTTTCAAACTTGGTTTAAAGTTAAATAATTATCAACTTATTTCACTGAGTAAAACCTGCTTTAAACCATTTCTCTGTCAGATTTAACCAAACATTTATAAAACTTTTTTCAACTCAAATAAGTTTTTATTTGATCAGTTATTTCATTCAGTTTGTTTTTACAGTGTAGAACCTTCAGAACCTGCAGAACCTGCAGAACCTGCAGAACTTTCATCAGTCCAACTTACAGTTCTGCTGAGGTCCAAAATATATTCCTCTCTGCACAACCCAGACACGTCCAGAGGACCAAAGTACTGTCCACAGGTCCAGTTGGGACCAGGGAGGGGTCTTCAGGTCCGGTCAGAACCAGGGAGGGATCCAAAGGTCCGGTCAGAACCAGGGAGGGATCCAAAGGTCCGGTCAGAACCAGGGAGGGATCCAAAGGTCCGTCAGAACCAGGGAGGGGTCTTCAGGTCCGGTCAGAACCAGGGAGGGGTCTTCAGGTCCGGTCAGAACCAGGGAGGGATCCAAAGGTCCGTCAGAACCAGGGAGGGATCCAAAGGTCCAGTTAGAAAACAAACAGAGAATCTACAAATCCAATCAGAGACCTAAAGAACAATCCAAGGATCCAGTTGGTCCACAGGTCCAGTCAGAACCAGAGGAAGACCCACAGGTCCAGTCAGAACCAGAGGAAGACCCACAGGTCCAGTCAGAACCAGAGGAAGACCCACANTAGCCTGTGAGCCATCAGCAGCAGGTATGAGGACAGGTGAAGCAGTGAGAGGGTTTGAATGTTTCTTCAGTTTCTCTCAGTGAATAAAAACAAACATTCTGTTGTTCTTAAAGCTCATAAAGAACATGTAAAGGTGCCGTTGTACAAAAATATGTTTTATGTTTAACTTTTTTTAATCTAAGTTTTGGAAAATATTCTTTTCCTGATGTGTTGATGGAACCGATTGTTATCAGTTCTGTTGTTTCAGCAGATGTTCCTCCACGTTCTGCGAGTGAAAGTCTGCGAGGTTCTTCTGATGTTTCAGCAGCGTCTCTTTCTTTAATCCCAGGATTCTGATCTAATCTGATCTAATCTGCTGTAATCACGTTAAGAGCGACTCCGCCTGGAAACATTCCTCCTGTGTGAGGATCAAACAGCTCCAGACCACCAGCACTGTCGCTGCTCTCACACTGCGCTGCATTTATTCACCTCAGCTGGCTCTGCTTGGATCAGAACCGGCCAAAACTTTAGAACCAACATAAATCTTCTTTTACATTTTAATACCTGCTTCATGCAGGCAATCATTAAAAGCATGTTATTCCTCCCTGCAGCAGCTTGTTTTACTCCTCATCACTCTGCTCTTATGAACAGGAAATCCCGGTGAGATGAAAAGCTGCCTCAGAATGTTAAACACGACCAGCACCGAGTGGAGGAACCCTCAACCAAACTCCTACCAAAACACACGTCACGGCTCTTTACAGCACAAGTTTTATGACATCAGACTCTCCTGTGGGTGTAAACCAGTCTGCTGCATGTTCAAAGTAAGAAACCACAGTTTGCCCTCAAACCCAAACCTGAAGCTCATTTAAAGGCAGCAGCATGTTAAAAACATGTAGTTAAGTTGGTCCTAAAAGCCCTGAAGCCACAGCTACACATGAAAACCAAACCTGAACACCACGCAGACAGCTGTAGACCACAACATTTCAAATTAACACATCAACAAAGGCTGGACAGTGGAGCAGCGCTGAGCCTCAGAGGGTTGCAGGTTTGATTCCAGGCTCCAGGCTTTCTGAGTTTACATGATCTCCACGTGCACTTGTGGGTTTTCTCAGGATACTCTGGTTTCTGCCACTGTCCGGTTACTTTATGTCGCTAAGGGATAGATCTGTCTCCTTCACTGCTGTGTGTAGGGGTCACCTGGAGTGAAGAAACAAGATTTACTGCCTCTCAGCAGGCCTGACGAGAGGATGATGTGGACTGGGACAGTCTGGAGACATGTCCACATGTCCCCTGCGTATTGCCCAATAACTGTTGGAGATGGACACCAGTGACTCTTCGACCCTACAGTCCTACCACTCTATGACCCTACCACTCTATGATCCTATGACCCTACAACCCTATGACCCTACCACTCTATGATCCTATGACCTTACCACTCTATGATCCTATGACCCTATGACCCTACCACTCTATGATCTTATGACCCTACCACTCTATGATCCTACAACTCTATGACCCTACCACTCTATGATCCTATGACCTTACCACTCTATGATTCTATGACCCTATGACCCTACCACTCTATGATCTTATGACCCTACGACTCTATGACCCTACNCACTCTATGATCCTACAACTCTATGACCCTACCACTCTATAATCCTACAACTTTATGACCCTACCACTCTATAATCCTACCACTCTATGACCCTATGACCCTACCACCCTATGATCCTACAACTCTACGACCCTACCACTCTACGATATTATGACCCTACACTCTATAATCCTACAACTTTATGACCCTATGACTCTACCATTCTATGACCTTACCACTCAATGATCCTATGACCCTACCCCTCTATAATCCTACCACTCTACAACCCTACAGTCCTATCAATCTATGATCCTACAAATCTATGACCCTACCCCTCTATAATCCTACCACTCTACAACCCTACAGTCCTATCAATCTATGATCCTACAAATCTATGACCCTACCACTCTACAACCCTACCACTCTATGACCATACCACTCTAAAATCTTATGACTCTACCACTCTATGATCCTGTGAGCCTACTACTATGATCTTACAATCTGTACGATCCAACAGCTTTATGACCATATGATTGTACAACTCTACAACTTTGCACAGACAGCAGGGACTGAAAACGGTTGGATGAATGGGAGCATCCAGATGTGTTAAAGGGAGGGTCACTGGTCTAAAGGGGATCATTTAAAGTCAGATACAGTGATGCATAAAAACATAGGATCTGTTGGTTTAATGTCAGAAGCTGTGGTCTGTTGTTGGGGTGATACTGGATCCATGACAGCAGTCATCTGGGAAGAATTAAAATATTTTCATTCAAGTATACTGTTGTTATTTTGGTACGTACGATGAACACTAGCCTACCCAGTCAGAAACAAAGACCAGGACTCATTTCAAAAGTGAGAAAATATCTCCTACAAGTTGCATCTGTAAAGTGAGTTTTCTCCCTTCAGCCCAACATATTTGAGCCTTCTCAGAGCAAACAACAGTAAGTCCGACAAACACTGCGGGCAGCAGTGCCACCCCCCAAACACTGTGACCGACACGTGTTGAAACATCAGCAATACATTCCAGCTGTTGCCTCCAACAATTAGAAGCAGATATGTGAAAGAGAAGCAGCCCAAGCAGCTTATCATTCTGAAAATCTCTGTGGGGAAATCACTGGTGGGAAAATATGTTTACTCAAGCATTTCACATCTTCCAAGCTAAGATTTATGTAGTACTGTTTTTATACTCCAGCACCATGTGAATATTGGACTTAAAACATAACCAAAAAGATTAATGAGAATCATTTTTCAACAAGCTGACTTCTCTGTGGTTCAGACTGCACACAAAGAGCTTCACACTGGACTGAAACAGTCATTCTCACCAGTTTATGGACCATTCTGGCACCAGATAAACATCCTCTGAATTCAACTACAGAAACAACTGAGTAGAAAAGTTAAGAAGGCACATAAAAGGCCTTTTTTTGCAAAATATAAACACAAAGAAAATCGATAATAAATTGCTCAGAAAAAGAAAAACAAAATCAACAAAAAAATCCATTAACACACAACAACAACTCAAATAAAACCACAGCTTTTTTTAAAGTTCCTGTGACTGTGTTAACTTGCTAATGTTCATAAATAGAATGTGACTTTACTGCTTTATTTATAAACAAGTCTGTTTATAGATTGGCAAAAAGGGAAAATTATGTTAGTATAAAGGTGAAATGTTGTTATAAAGACGGGTACCTTGGTATAATGGTGGGTAAGCTGGTATAATGGTGGGCATGTTTGTATAAAGGTAGCTATGTTGGAATAAAGGTGGCTAAGTTTGTATAACAGTGGCTAAGTTGGTATAAAGGTGGGTACATTGGTATAAAGGTAAGTATGTTGGTAAAAGGTGGGTATGTTGGTATAACGATGGGTAGGTTGATATAAAGGCGGGTATGTTGGTATAAAGGTGGGTACGTTGGTATAAAGGTGGGTACGTTGGTATAAAGGTGGGTACGTTGGTATAAAGGTGGGTACGTTGGTATAAAGGTGGGTAAGTTGGTATAAAGGTGGGTACGTTGGTATAAAGGTGGGTAAGTTGCTATAACGGTGGTTATGTTGGTATAAAGGTAAGTATGTTAGTATAAAGGTAAGTATGTTGGTATAAAGGTGGGTACATTGGTATAAAGTTGGGCACGTTGGTATAAAGGTGGGTACATTGGTATAAAGTTGGGCACGTTGGTATAAAGGTGGCTACATTGGGATAAAGTTGGGTACGTTGGTATCGAGGTGGGTAAGTTGGTATAAAGGTGGGTACGTTGGTATAAAGGTGGGTAAGTTGGTATCAAGCTGGGTACGTTGGTATAAAGGTGGGTCCTGCACTCTACCTGCTTCAGAGTTTAACTGTTTGTGTTTGTTTTCAGGACCTTCGGCTTGTAAAGCCATTTGAATGGAGCACCATGTGTCTGCAGCTGTGT